TGGTCACGCCGCAATCCCTTCTCCTCCATTCTCCTCTCGGGATCTTGGGCACACACGCACACGCGCCCGGCGTGAGTTTAAGCCACCGGGTCCGGGACACGAACCGCGGTCAACTACGTGGGAGTCCAGCGACATAGCCATTACGCTAACTGCTGGTTCCCTTTTTCTTTTCTTTTTTGGAGAGGTTTTTGCTATAGGGTGCATGTGCTTGCCAAAAAGACAGAAACAGACAAAGCGAGAAGTCACCCCGCAGGGGGGATGGCCATGCCACAATCCATTCTCCTTTCGGGATCTTGGGCACGCACGCACCCGGCGTGAGTTTAAGCCCCTGGGTCTGGGAATCGAACCACGACGTAGCCATTAAGTCATCTGCTGGTCCCTGACTGTGTCTTTCAAGCCACTGGGTCAGGGACTTGAACTGTGATCATGTGGGATCTCCAGGCCTTACTTTCACCACCACACCACGGACCTATGGGGGTTACTGTCTGTGCCTCTTTCTAGTTCTGTAGGAGTGGAGGTGTCCCTGCTGAGGCTGTGAATGGAAGGGGGCACCTGTCAATTTCATTAGAGGCTTAGAGCGTGGGAAGCTGGAGGCCCCTTGACTAATGGGGAGCGGATTAGCCGGCAGTGGGCCCAGCGCTGCCTGCTGTTTGGTTTGGGAATTAGCGGGGCGCCCTGGGCAGAGGCTGGGCTGCCAGACAGGATTAACAGCATCCCCCCTTCCAATTCCTGCCCCCACAAGAAAGAAGGCACCGGCCCCTCCCAGCACAGGGTTGCAACAGGGGGACTGACGGGGTGGTGGGGGGCAGAATGGCAGAGAACTCAGGCTAGAGAACCCCTTGGGTCCCATCCTGGCTCCCCTGAAAGGAAGACCTCGGCGAGGCCATGCAGAGCGATGGGATGGCACGAACTCCCCTGCCTGCCTCCTCCCTCAGCGGCTGCCTGGGCAACCCTCGTCCCCTCAGAGAGACCCAGAACAGGAGCCTGACCTTGATTGTTTGCAAGTTCTGAGCCAGAGCTGATTGGGGTGAAGGGGGGCGGAAAGGGGGTGTCTGAAGATACACATGAGTCAGGCAGGGGTGTGTGTCCCCCAACAGGGCACACAGTTCGGTCTGGGCATGCCTCGGTGTACGGGGATGGGAAACCCAGCCACGAGCCTAGACGCGTCCCCCCACTTGGCCTACTGGGTGTGCACAAGCAGGTGTGGGCATGTCGGGTGGCGCTTAAACAACACGGTGGAGACCTCAGGCTCTGGACCAGACTGTCTGGGGTCATACCCGGGTTACACCACTAGCAAGCCAGGGCAGCCGAGCCCATTCCTCACCGGAGCCTGGGGAGAACAAGAACACCGACTTGTGGGGCCAGCAGGTGGCGTAGTGGTTAAGGCGCTGGACTCCCCCGTGGCTGACTGCAGTTCAAGTCCTGGACCCCAGTAGCTTGAAACTTACACTAAGCGTGTGTGCGTACGTGCCCAAAATCCCAAGAAGAAAATGGAGAAGGGACTGCAGCATGGCCATCCCCCCGGGGCGGTGGGGTGGGTAATTTCTCGCTTTCTCTCTCTCTGTCTCTCCAGCAACTGCATGCGCCGTATAGCAAAAATCTCTCTTTTTTAAAAAGAATTATTGGGAACCAGCAGTTAGTGTAATGGCTGTGTCGCTGGACTCCCACGTAGTCAACTGCGGTTCGCATCCGGGACCCGGTGGCTTAAAACACCCCAGGCGAGTGTGCGTGCGTGCCCAAGATCCCGAGAGGAGAATGGAGGAGAAGGGATTGCGGCGTGACTATCCACAATCCATTCTCCTTTCGGGATCTTGGGCACGCACGCACCCGGCGTGAGTTTAAGCCCCTGGGTCTGGGAATCGAACCACGACGTAGCCATTAAGTCATCTGCTGGTCCCTGACTGTGTCTTTCAAGCCACTGGGTCAGGGACTTGAACTGTGATCATGTGGGATCTCCAGGCCTTACTTTCACCACCACACCACGGACCTATGGGGGTTACTGTCTGTGCCTCTTTCTAGTTCTGTAGGAGTGGAGGTGTCCCTGCTGAGGCTGTGAATGGAAGGGGGCACCTGTCAATTTCATTAGAGGCTTAGAGCGTGGGAAGCTGGAGGCCCCTTGACTAATGGGGAGCGGATTAGCCGGCAGTGGGCCCAGCGCTGCCTGCTGTTTGGTTTGGGAATTAGCGGGGCGCCCTGGGCAGAGGCTGGGCTGCCAGACAGGATTAACAGCATCCCCCCTTCCAATTCCTGCCCCCACAAGAAAGAAGGCACCGGCCCCTCCCAGCACAGGGTTGCAACAGGGGGACTGACGGGGTGGTGGGGGGCAGAATGGCAGAGAACTCAGGCTAGAGAACCCCTTGGGTCCCATCCTGGCTCCCCTGAAAGGAAGACCTCGGCGAGGCCATGCAGAGCGATGGGATGGCACGAACTCCCCTGCCTGCCTCCTCCCTCAGCGGCTGCCTGGGCAACCCTCGTCCCCTCAGAGAGACCCAGAACAGGAGCCTGACCTTGATTGTTTGCAAGTTCTGAGCCAGAGCTGATTGGGGTGAAGGGGGGCGGAAAGGGGGTGTCTGAAGATACACATGAGTCAGGCAGGGGTGTGTGTCCCCCAACAGGGCACACAGTTCGGTCTGGGCATGCCTCGGTGTACGGGGATGGGAAACCCAGCCACGAGCCTAGACGCGTCCCCCCACTTGGCCTACTGGGTGTGCACAAGCAGGTGTGGGCATGTCGGGTGGCGCTTAAACAACACGGTGGAGACCTCAGGCTCTGGACCAGACTGTCTGGGGTCATACCCGGGTTACACCACTAGCAAGCCAGGGCAGCCGAGCCCATTCCTCACCGGAGCCTGGGGAGAACAAGAACACCGACTTGTGGGGCCAGCAGGTGGCGTAGTGGTTAAGGCGCTGGACTCCCCCGTGGCTGACTGCAGTTCAAGTCCTGGACCCCAGTAGCTTGAAACTTACACTAAGCGTGTGTGCGTACGTGCCCAAAATCCCAAGAAGAAAATGGAGAAGGGACTGCAGCATGGCCATCCCCCCGGGGCGGTGGGGTGGGTAATTTCTCGCTTTCTCTCTCTCTGTCTCTCCAGCAACTGCATGCGCCGTATAGCAAAAATCTCTCTTTTTTAAAAAGAATTATTGGGAACCAGCAGTTAGTGTAATGGCTGTGTCGCTGGACTCCCACGTAGTCAACTGCGGTTCGCATCCGGGACCCGGTGGCTTAAAACACCCCAGGCGAGTGTGCGTGCGTGCCCAAGATCCCGAGAGGAGAATGGAGGAGAAGGGATTGCGGCGTGACTATCCCCCCTGGGGGGTGATTTCTCGCTTTCTGTCTCTATGTCTCTCTCTGTCTGGCGAGCGCACACGCCCTGTAGCAAAAATCTATAAAAAAAGAAAAAAAAAAGAATTTATTTAACTTTTTATTTATTTATTTATTTGAATTTGACCAGAGAGAGACAGAGTGAGAGAGAGAGAAAGAGAGAGAGGGAGAGAGGAAGTGAGAAAGCAAGCCACCAGGCCCGGGACTTGAACCATGGTCAGCCATCTGGGAACATCCAGTGCCTGTTTTAACCACCATGTCACCTGCTGGTCCCTTCTTTTCTTTTTTAAAAGATTTATTTTTAAATTAGTTTTATTTGTTATTATTATTTTTTAATTTTACCAGAGAGAAAGAGAAAGTGAGAAATCAAGCTGCCAGGTCCAGGACTCAAACCACAGTCGGCCATGTGGGATTCCAGTGCCTTTA